TTTTAGGCTTAGAAAAAGGTCATCATAGGAAAAATGTGCCTTCAGTTGTTTTGAAGAGGCTCCCGCTGCTTCCATGTTGACTTTTAACTACCTAATTTCTATTTTACCATTTCAAAAACCTGGGAGGGGATAAACAAGCTCAAAACCGTAGGAAGCTGTAAGGTTTTCTACAATCTGACGAGCCTTTCCACAACGACGGGCACAGTAAAAACAAACATCAAGTGCTTGTAGGTAAGCAGTAGTTTAGTGAAGCTCGCCTATAAAAGGAGCCAGATGTGGACCATCAGAAGCCTCTGTAGCAACATGCCACATCAGCCAGATGTTGCACCAATACAAGTGCCTCAAGCACAGTCACCGTTAGTGAACTTTAACGTTTTACCCATGATCTCGCTGCACACGGGTCTGATGAGGCTCACACAGGCTGAAGACGGGTTTGCATGTGGGCGACACGCCGCAGTTCCGGGTTTGAGGGGAAACTGACCCTAAGTGCTGCACGGAGACAATCTCATGAGACTTTGAGCCACATTTATAATCGTTAGGAAAGAAAAAGAAAGTTTTGCAGCATGGCTTCTGGTGCATTTTAGTGAGCTGATTTAACTGGTGAAGTTTAACCAAATCCACTTTTATCAGCTGATTTCCTTCAACAGGAGGAGCTCGTAACAAAAAGCAGATGTGATGTGGAAACTAGCGCCACAATAAAGAATAATAGACTGCTTACACGTTGCATGAGGACAGGAAGAAGTGTGCATCTCATTTATTTTCACTCCGTCTCTCAAACAGGTACCTCGGAGGCCGACCATTACCCCATAATTTACAAAACATAAATAAAGCTGTCTGCTTTTGAACAGTTACCGATGTACACATCTGGACTTGCAGCAAAACACACAATATTTACAAAAAAACACAAACCAGGTGTCCCTCCCAATTAGAATGACTCAATTCTGCGTCAGCATCCTTCCTGTACACACACTAGTGTGTATAACTAAGCAATAGTACTCTTGTAGCTGTATATTATTTACACTTATTTAAACCAAGAACAGGTGATTTGTAACTAAACAACTTCACGTTGTTTAACATTCATATTGGTTGGTCGTAACAAAAAGAGCCGGCTCGTTCTTTCTCCCTCTGAGGAGACGGTTCCCCGTTAGCCCTTGGCCCAGCTCGCCACACCAAAACCTTCAGACCAGAGATGCACCACACACACACACACACACACACACGTTTAGCATCCACCTCGAGTCGGAGCGTCACACTCTGGGTTTAACCTCGTGCTCTTCGAGCCTGTCGAGCAGTCGCCTCTCCCCGTCTACGCCAGAGCTGAACTTCGCCGTGCGTCGGCCGCGCCGGATTTCACATTTAACAGCTTCTCACCACCTCAGGATTGTATTTTGCAGCTTTATAAAAACAAATAAATGTCCAACTCCAGCTAGATGGTTCCACTTGTTCCATCAGCTCAGAGCTCAAGCACCACTTCATTCATACTCTGTACATTTTTAATTAGCCTTGAAGGTGCCGTACATTTTTATGATTAAGAAAACAAACATAAACCTTCATGTTTTGATGAAAGACTCTTCCTCAGATTTAGTAGTGGCGTCCATCATGGAGGAAGGAGTAGTGGGACTCAAAAGGTCCTAAAGTTGAGCGGAGGCCTCTACAGACCCGAGGGACCTGAGAGGAGGAGATTCCTCTTCCGAGTCCAGGTTTTACTCCTCGTCCGCGTTCTTCAGCATGAGGATGGAGTTGTAGATCTTCAGAGCAGGTCCTAGTTTGATTGACAGGATCTTTACGATGTCTGCTTGGGTGAGCAGAAGGAAGGCCTCGCCATCAATTTGCTGAAGAAAAATCAGTCGTTTTTTTATTTCATTTAAAAACAAACCTACTCATTTATTTCTGTTATTTTTAAAGATATTTTCATTTGGAGTTCTTCAGGTTATCGGACACTGCCTTTTCACCGGCTTTTAGTCCTGGGTGTGAATGTGTGTGTGAACGGCTGAATGACTGAGTGTGTTGTAAAGCGCCTTGGGGGGTTCCAGGACTCTAGAAGATCAGATACAGGCCATTAAGGAGCTACTGACCTCTGAACCATTTGGGCCTGAAAAAGGACCATAAACAGAAAACTTAGCAAAGAACCAAACTTTTAGGCCCGCTGTTGCCTGCAGTGTCTTAAAGAACAAAAACAACATTTTTAGCAACAACAGAGATTTCCACTTTGATGATCAACTGAAGAGTGATGCATCTCTCAGCTCTTTGCTGAGAAACTCCTTCAGAATATCCAGCCGCTGTGACCGTGTAGCCTGAACTGAGCCAGAGTCTACACCAGCGAATGACCAAGGCGACTCTAAACGACTGTAAGGAAGTCTGGTTGCTGGAGGCTAAATGTAAAGAAATGGTTGGATGACCTAAAACTTTTGCACAGCGCTGTAGAAGTATTGATCAGAACCTGCCAACATAAGCAGGAGCTGTATTAAATCATGCACAGCGGAGCCGGCAGACATTAAAGACCAAGTTCACACATTTTTTCAACAAATTAGTTTTTGTGAGTCGATCTCTGTGGGGAAGAATACTCTGGCGCTCCTGTTTCAGGAACTAGAAGTTGTCCAGAACAGAGTTGAGCTTCAGATGACAAGATTTAGTTTTATTTCCTGATAGTTGGATATCTGTCTTCTGATTGGCTAACAGCAACACGACTCTACCACTGACTGTTTGCTCTGCAACGTTGATGTTTTATCTCCACAAATAACACAAGCCTGCTGTGTGGTGGAGTAGCTAATGCTAACAGTTAGCTTCTACTAGCTGAGACGTTCTCTGCTGTTTTCTGGACGCTAAACCAACAACAGCCTTCCCCGTCGTGAGTCCAGATGGGTGAATCCATGAATGTTAGTGACAGGATGACGTAGATCTGTCAGGATTTTCTATCCTAGAGTTTCACCGTCTGTTTTCTATCAGAAGCTGATGCAGGAGATAGGTGTAGGAGACTATTTTCATGTTCAGCCTCAGTGACCCGTTAATCAGAAATAGTTGTTAAAAATTCTTTCTCAATGAATTTGGTCTTTAAAGCCAAATTTCACACTTCTGTGTTGCCGTATTTCAGACTAAAGCCAGTCTTAATTTAAAATGACCTCTTAGCAGAAAAACACTCCGCTGGTCTCATATCGATAAGGACCGGTGATAACGAGGGACGTGTTGTGATCTCTAGGGGACAAACCTCGGTTTTAAAAGTAGCGGCGTGTTCTTTACAGCCTGGTAGGCCTCTGACGAACCCGGCCACCTGACAAAAACAGAAAAAACAACAAGTCAGCCATCGTTCTCGTAAACGTTTGGCTCTCCTCTGAAGGAGTTCTCCTCGTGTGAGCGAGTGACTGAGGAGCACGCCGGACCTCTTCAGCGCTCCATGTGGCCACTCTCTTGGCAGTCAGCCCCAGGACCTCAGGTAGCAGCTGGCAGTGTTTGTCCCAGCACAGAGCCACTCTGTGAGGAGGGGAGGCGGAGATGCCGGGGGAGAACACCGACTCGTGGAGGGCCTGCTGTAGAGAGATGCTGTCTGGAGAAGCTGGGGGAGACACGCTCAGTCAGTGGGACGCTCACTCTGCTGCTTTACCTACCGCACACCTCCGCTGCTCACCTTTACTGTCACTCATCTCCTCCTTCACATAGTGCATTTTTAGGTATTTGGGCGCTGGAGCCATTCTGAAAGAAGCAACAAATAAATCAGATTGTTGTTTGTTTGTTTTTGGACACAACAGTTCTGATGGAAGGACTCGCCGGTACCGCTTCGGCCTTGTTCCATTGTGGCTTGGCTCGTTGGCTCCACCTGGTGGCTCCACCTGGTTGTTACACCCCAACAGCTCAGCTTCCCCTGAGACCGGTTTCCTAGCAACAAAGATTGCAGCCTTTCAGGTGCCAGACTTAAAAAGACGACAACATGTAACAGGTGCTGTTGGATCCCTGGGGAACACGGTGAAGTGTTTAAAGGCTCCTGACAGGATTCAGCGCTCAGGAGCAGACCTGATCTGGGGGTCCGCAGCTCCTTCCAGCGGCGATGGCACCAAGGCTGACTGAGAAACGTTGTTTGTGGGCGGGTCGGGCCGCCGTCCCCGTGGCTGAGGCCCGCTGAGGGTGAGAGGGCGTTCTCCGCCGAGTCGGTCGGGAACCAAAGCCTCCTTATTCAGGTTTATGTCCGAGTACGGACAGCTCACCTGGCTGCACACAGAAACACACACAAGCCCTCAGCCAGGTGTAAAAAATTTCTTTAAATCTGAACTGCTGCCTGTTTCATGTGAAATTAGACAAATAGGAAGGGAAAAGCAGACATCACCTAGACACACACACACACACACACACCTGTTAATGAGCCACAAGTAGGGTCGTCACGGTGTGAAAATCTAACCTCGCGGTTATCGTGACCAAAATTATCACGGTTTTCGGTATTATTGCGGTATTTTTTAAACGTGTAACATTTTCACACAATTAAATAAACCCTGTATATCAGGAAATGTTGACCTCAGTTTGTGTCTAAATTTAGCCTAAAATGTGTTATTTTGTAATTATGTTGTTTATTTGTTTACATTTTTCCCCTTTAGTCTTTAAAATACCAATATTTGCCCATAACTTCTTATTTTATGTCTGTTTGATGTCATCATTTAAAAATATTAGATCAGATGATACTCAGTACTCAAGTAGCCTTCTAATCAGATACTTTTTTACCCTTACTTGAGTAATAAACCCTATATCAGGAAAATATTGTCCTCGGTTTGTGTCCTTCCAGTGAGCTTTGCAGATGTGGGAAAATGTCATCAGGCAGTAATCATTGTTAAATTCATAATTATTCTCGGAGAGAGACCAACTCTTATCTGCCCCTGGGAGCCCCGTAATGCATAGCGTCATTTCAACATGGCGGTGTCCGCGACACGGTTTATATGCAGGTAGCGGCGCTGCGGCTGCTTTATATAGCGACTCGTTGCATTCTCCCTCAACCCAAATCCTCGGATCACGCATTTTAGCTAAAACGCTAACGCTAGCTTGCCTTGCGTTGACTGTAGAGTTGTGGGTGATGGTCACGCAGATGTGTCATGAGATTTGAAGCGTTGCTGCCTTTCACAGACACTTTTTCTGCACGTGCTGCAAACAGGATAGCCGTCTTCTATCAGCTGTCCCTCGGCATTCTTCAAATATCCAAAAGATGCCCGTACTTCCCACTTTGTCTTCTTTGAGGGATAATAAATGTCCTGAGCGCTGCCGTCTCCTCCTTTGGCCATTATTTCAGCTTTAGCTTCAAGAAAGTTTTGGTTGTAAACAACAAAGTGCGCATGTGCCGCCAGCAACTTCAGCAGATGATACGGTGGCTGGTAAGGGTCACCGCGCCTACACCGCAGCCACGGTAACCCACCGAGATAATATAGTTTTTTAAAAACAAGACGGTTATTATTATTGTCAACTTTTTTACCGGGGTTTACCGCTACACCGGTTACCGTGACAACCCTAGCCACAATAAAACAGAACCGTCGCCTTGATTGATCTCAAAAGAGCTCTGCAACAAGGAGAAGTGACGGAAAGTTTAGATAATTAACTTAAACATTTATAGAAATTTTCTATTTAAAGAAACCGAGGTGAAAAGGACAAAAGCGGATTAGATTAAAAAATAAATGTGACATTTGCTACAACTGAAAATCAAACTCAACTTTTTTCTTTGAAGTTTTGGAGACTGAATAAATGTTAGGAAGTCAAATAAGTACTACAGTAACAGTATTACTGGTGGGACTGGAAAGTACAGGATACTAACGTGTAGTGTGTCCCATAGCGAGGTCCTCTGATGTGTCCAACCCCGTTGCAACCTGGGGTGGGACATCCTTGTCCCGGGGCAGCCAAAGTCTCACTGGTGCCTGAACACACACACACACACACACACACACACACACACACACACACACACACACACACACACACACACACACTGTAAACACACTCTAGTCCCACAACCTGCAGGACAGACAGAGTTAAAAGGCCTGTCTCACTGTTAGGGTACTGCAGAGGATGTCCGGTTTTCTGACACCACCCGACCGGGTGCAGGTCTGGACAGTCGGTCTCGACCCAGTAGTCGTACTCAGAACTCCAGCCATCAAAGTGAACCTACGGAGGATGGAAACTAGAACGTTAACACGGGTTCTTGGCTGTGTGAGGGGAGGCCACCGGCCCGGGCACCTTCAGCCGATGGTCTTCGGTGTCCAATATGGTGGTAACACGGATCAGCATGGGGTTCCTCCGATCAACAGCTTCTACCTTCATCCCGATCTGGAATCCATGTGGAGGCCGCTGGAGACACAGCAACGCAAACGTGTTAAAGGAAAACGGTGATGAATAAAGCTGGGTGGGCACCAGTACCAGAGGCTGCTCGAGTCATACCGGCTTGAAAGCTCGTGCCGGAGCTGCCTGAGTCCCCGTTTCCTCCAGATATTTCTCCCAGGAGAAACTTTTGGGATCTTTTTGTTCTGCAACAAGTAAACAAATGAAGCTCTGCAAGGAGGATATGATGCAGGCTAGCACACGGGTTCAAACTGCTGGTCTGTAGTGATCTGATCACCTAACACGTCTGGATGTTTTCAGAAGCTACTTGGTGTTTTTTTATAAAGCGTGTCGTGTTTACCGGGTGGAGTTGTCAAAGTCAGCCCAGCTTCCTCGCAGTAGCCGACAGGATGGATGTAAGGGCTGCTGGCGTCACACCTTCACAGGACCGCCAGACAGGTTCGACACAAGCACGTTTAAAACACCTCCGTTTAAAGCTTGCATCGGCGTCTTCTTGGACTCTTTACAGCAGGTTCTTACCAGTAGTCGTGCGTGTCGTCCCAGTTGTCAAAATGAATCAGCAAGCGGTTGTCGACAACAGCGGCTATCGTGGCCACGCAGATCATCGAAGGGTTCTTCCTGTCAGCTGCCTCCAGCTTCATCCCAGCTCTGAATCCAGACGGAGTCACAGACTAAAGAAACGAAGACACTTAGCCACAGAGCTCTGAGGAACGCAGAGCAGCCGCGTACTCGGTCCTTACCGTGTTCAGGCTCTTAAAAAGGTGCTTTGGAGCCAGCTGACCTCTGCAGTTCTTCACGTACATGCTCCAGTTAAACTCTCCATCCTTACAGCCTAGAGGACACAAAGTCACGCTCAGCCACTCCATCAGAGCCGCGTATCCATAAACGACCTGCTCACGCCCACCTTTAGGTAACAATAACTTGTGCCCGTTCTTCTCACACCACCCCGCAGGTTTCAGGTCCCACGAGTCAGCGTTGGCCCAAAAGTCGTAGCACTCGGGATAGCCGTCGAAGTGGAGCCTGACTCTGTAGCCTTGGATCTACGAGGCAAGAGGACAACGTTCACGGATGCGAGACTCCTCGGTGTAAACCGACATCAGCGGCTCTCATACCTCTGCCACCGTGAGCACACAGAACAGAGACGGGTGGGACGGGTCCAGTCCCTCCAGCTTCATCCCGACCTTAAAACTGTTCCTGCTCTGAGGAAAGGACTGGTGCTGCAGGAGCACGCAGAGGTTCAGATACAGCAAACCGCCATTTTAAAGACTAGGATCAGTTCGTACCTCTTTGAAGAGTTTGACGGGAGCAGCGACGGCTCTCTCTTCTTCCAGGTAGGCCGGCCAGCTCCAGGCCCGCTTCTTACTGAGAGGCGCCGTTACTGAGAGGAGGATGCACCAAATGCATGAAAACAGTTACAGGAAACGCACACACGTCTAAGAATGTTCACGGAATGAATCAGGTGATTCCAACGGTCATTTTTCCAGCTTTTAGAGTAGGGTTGTCACGGTAACCGGTGTAGCGGTAAACCCCGGTAAAAAAGTTGACAATAATAATAACCGTCTTGTTTTTAAAAAACTATATTATCTCGGTGGGATTACCGTGGCTGCGGTGTAGGCGCGGTGACCCTTACCAGCCACCGTATCATCTGCTGAAGTTGCCGGCGGCACATGCGCACTTTGTTGTTTACAACCAAAACTTTCTTGAAGCTAAAGCTGAAATAACGGCCAAAGGAGGAGACGGCAGCACTCAGGACATTTATTATCCCTCAAAGAAGACAAAGTGGGAAGTACGGGCATCTTTTGGATATCTGAAGAATGCCGAGGGACAGCTGATAGAAGACGGCTATCCTGTTTGCAGCACGTGCAGAAAAAGTGTCTGTGAAAGGCAGCAACGCTTCAAATCTCATGACACATCTGCGTGACCATCACCCACAACTCTACAGTCAACGCAAGGCAAGCTAACGTTAGCGTTTTAGCTAAAATGCGTGATCCGAGGATTTGGGTTGAGGGAGAATTCAATGAGTCGCTATATAAAGCAGCCGCAGCGCCGCTACCTGCATATAAACCGTGTCGCGGACACCGCCATGTTGAAATGACGCTATGCATTACGGGGCTCCCAGGGGCAGATAAGAGTTGGTCTCTCTCCGAGAATAATTATGAATTTAACAACGATTACTGCCTGATGACATTTTCCCACATCTGCAAAGCTCACTGGAAGGACACAAACCGAGGACGATATTTTCCTGATATAGGGTTTATTACTCAAGTAAGGGTAAAAAAGTATCTGATTAGAAGGCTACTTGAGTACTGAGTATCATCTGATCTAATATTTTTAAATGATGACATCAAACAGACATAAAATAAGAAGTTATGGGCAAATATTGGTATTTTAAAGACTAAAGGGGAAAAATGTAAACAAATAAACAACATAATTACAAAATAACACATTTTAGGCAAAATTTAGACACAAACTGAGGACAATATTTTCCTGACATACAGGGTTTATTTAATTGTCTGAAAATGTAACACGTTTAAAAAAAATACCGCGATAATACCGACAACCACCCTGTCCACCATTGTTCCTGTGCCTAAGAAACCCCGTGTCACTGAACTGAATGATTATAGGCCTGTGGCGCTGACGTCTGTAGTCATGAAGTCTTTTGAGCGCCTGGTCCTCCCCCATCTCAAGTCCTTCACCTCCCCCCTCCTGGACCCTCTGCAGTTCGCATACAGAGCCAACAGGTCTGTAGACGACGCCATCAACCTGGCCCTCCACTTCATCCTGCAGCACCTGGACTCCCCGGGCACCTACGCTAGGATCCTGTTTGTGGACTTCAGCTCTGCGTTCAACACCATCCTCCCTGCTCTGCTCCAGGACAAGCTCTCCATGCTCAACGTACCCAACTCCACCTGCAGGTGGATCACTGACTTCCTGATGGACCGAAGGCAGTGCGTGCGGCTGGGGAAGAATGTTTCCACCATTCAGACAATCAGCACAGGATCTCCACAGGGCTGTGTACTTTCTCCTCTGCTCTTCTCCCTGTACACAAACCGCTGCACCTCGAGCCATGACTCCGTTAAACTGATCAAGTTTGCGGATGACACCACCCTGATCGGGCTCATCTCTGACGGTGATGAGTCCGCCTACAGGAGGGAGGTGGAACGGCTGGTGTCCTGGTGCAGCAGCAACAACCTGGAGCTCAATGCTCAGAAGACAGTGGAGATGATTGTGGACTTCAGGAAAGTCACAGCCCCATCTCTCCCCCTCGTCCTGTCGGACTCCCCCGTCACCACTGTGGACTCCTTCCGCTTCCTCGGAACCACCATCACACAGGACCTTAGGTGGGAGCCATCCATCAGCTCCCTGATCAAAAAGGCCCAGCAGAGGATGTACTTTCTGCGGCAGTTGAGAAAGGCCAAGCTGCCGGCCCAGATGATGGTGCAGTTTTACACGGCCATCATTGAGTCCATCCTCACCTCCTCCATCGCTGTGTGGTACGCTGGAGCCACGGTGAGGGACAAACATAGACTGCAGCGCATTGTGCGCTCTGCTGAGAAGGTGATTGGCTGCAGCCTTCCATCTCTCCAGGACCTGTACGTCTCCAGAACTCGGGGACGAGCAGGTCGGATAGCAGCTGACCCTTCTCACCCGGGTCACAGACTTTTTGAGCCGCTTCCCTCAGGCAGGAGGTTACGGTCCATCCGGACCAGAACCTCCCGCCATAAGAACAGCTTCTTTCCATCTGCCGTTAGACTTGTGAACAGCTTATAAACACACAACCATGCTCGTCTTCGGTACTTGACACAACGTCACGTTATCGGCCATGTTACCTTTACCTGCCTTTTTTTATAGCAAAGTTTTATGCTAGTTTATTATATTTTATTCTACTTTATTCTATTTTTTAATTATATTATTCATGTTATATGTAGCACGTTAGTACCGAAGCAAGTTCCTAGTTTGTGAATCGTTTGTTCACTGACAATGGCAATAAACCTTTTCTGATTCTGATTCTGAACCGTGATAATTTTGGTCACAATAACCGTGAGGTTAGATTTTCACACCGTGACGACCCTAGTCTAGAGAGGAACAGTTTTTGTCACAACCTGATATTTTATAAGCACCTAAAACCAGAAACAGTGAAACAGGCAGAGGTTCCTGTTTAGGACACAAACAGGAATATAAAACTTAACTGTTTTCTATAAATTAGTCATCATCAGACATTAAAACGGTTACCGACACGTCTCCGTCGCTCCTCTCTTAGTCTAACCTACCGGGCTTGGTTATTTTCACTCCTCTCCTGCCTTTGGTGGTCTTGGCTTTTTCCTGTAAAACAGACTTGTTATAAACACCAGATGTACTGTTGGGTCACACACCTGCAGGCCTACAGCCCAAACACAGCGTTCTGCTCACCTCCGGCTCCTCCTGGTCCTCCTCTTCGTCGCCAGAATCCAAGTAGATCTTCCTCTTTCTGCGCACACGCTTTCCAAGTCCTTCCACCGCCTGGCTGTCCCGCGCTTCTGCTGGAGATGACCTTTAGAATAAAGCAGAGACTGAAAACCATCCGACGGGCAGCATTAGAAGCAGGCGGCGAGCGTCGCTTGTTGTTTTACCTGCCGCTGGACGGCAGAGCACAAGCAGAGCTGCAGAATTTGCCTTGCAGTAAAGCATCCCTGTGGACATGTCCACCGCAGGAGCGACAGCTTGACGGTTCTCCGTTTGGACCCGTGTCTGCAGCGGAACCCACTCCGACACTGGGACCAACCTCCACCCTAACGCCTGGTCCCTCTAAAAAAAATAAAAACACATTAAAAACTAAAACTCAAGGCTAAATAAAAAGGAGTTGATAAAAAGGTAAAAGTCGGACCTTTGACTTGAGATGATCCTGGCTTACTCTGACTGGCTGCACCCGCCTGTGACTGGCCCTCCGGTGGAGGGGTGGGGGTGTGAGACGAAACCGGCTTCAAGGTCTCGCAGTTAGACGCAACCCCCTGACCTTTAACCTCCAGGTCTGTTACGATCTCAAGAATCCCAAACTCTGTCATACGGAACTGAGAAAGGGGACAGGTAACTAGAGTGACACCGTGCTCCAAACTTATTTTAAATGAGTTGGAAGAGGACGGAGACCACGAAAACAGACATGCTACCTTTATGTCGCTGCCTGGGAGTGTAGCGATGCCATCCTTCCAGTCCAGAGCACCGATCATGTCAAACTCAGGTCCCTGGGAGGGTCCATCGCTGGGTGGAGTGTCAGTCATTCCCACTTTGCTCATATAGCTAACCTGAAACACAAACACATCAAATGTTCTTCATAACAGCGCTTCTGATGGGGTTTTCACCCAAGCACTGATAGAGGTCTTGGTCAGTTTTTCCCCATGCTTCCTGTCCTTTAAATGTATTCCTAACCCTAACAGAGCGTGATTTAAAATGTAGAAAGTAAACAGGTGAAGAGGTTTTAGGTGTAAAAGTTAAAAATAGGGAGAAAATCCAATAAAGACCTGATATTTTACCACTAATAGGAATCTCTTATAGGTGCTGTAGTTAGGGATGCACAATGTATCTGCATCAACATCGGTATTGGCCTATGTTAGTCCTTTTTTAAAACATCGGTATCGTTCCGATAAGTAAAACTGGGCCGATATTAACAACTGATATTTTTTTAGTCTTATTTCCATTTGTGTATCTGTTTCAGAGGGTAAGGGGGTGATGATGTGTAGTTTAGTCGTGACAGTGATGGTAACTGTCCCAGAAGTGTAAATGTGTGGGGTGTGTGTATAATAACACTGCAAACTGCACTTTATAGAAATGAATCAAACCTTTCAAAAATTCAGCGTGCGTCATTTTCAGTCTATACAAAATGTGCTTATTTCAGAAGTTTTAAAGAGCAAGTCACCCCCAGTCAACCTTTTTTCCTGATAAACTATATAAATGCATGTCTAATCATGCTGCAGACACGTGTAGTCAATAGTTTTGCACTTTAGTGCATTTTAGTAAAAATTTAAATGTTCTGCCTAAAACTGTCAGTGTTGTGCCGTTGTCAGGTAAAAACTCTGCACTGCATTTGAATTTAAATCTGCCATCGCTATTGGCTAAGAGATACCCTAGAACGTTAGCTGGTACCATATGATGTCACAATGTCATTGTGAGCCTGTGTGTGTGTATTTGTTAGCGACTCCGCCCTCTCAGTCTGCTAGGCAACAGCATTTGTTACATTTTTCAAACAGGAAGTGGGAGTGCAGTAATACTCTGGTAGGGGGTGACTTGCTCTTTAATGTCAGCGTGTATGTGTGTGTGTGTGTGTGTATATATATATATATATATGTGTATATATATGTGTATATATATATATATATATATATATATATATATATATATATATATATATATATATATATATATATATATATATCTTCAGCATGCATTATTTTCAGTCTATACAAAAGTTGCTTAGTGCAGAAGATTTAATGTCAGTGTGTGTGTGTGTGTGTGTATTATAGAGGCAAATATTGGTTATCAGCCATAACAGTGATAGTGATATCATCCCAAAATATAGCTATAATACATTTTTAATTGTCAAATTGTGTTTTCTTTAGTCTTTTTTAATACATGGAAGGAAATTGTGTCTTTGGTGGTAACAGAGTAAGATCCAGATTAAGATTCCAGATTTGTTAACACTGGTTCATCCTTTGACTTTAGGCTACTTTTTGAACCTGCATGATTCATAAGTAAAATGGATTTATCTAGTGGCCAAAATCGAAGAAAAAAAAACGCACAAAGATACTTTCCAGAAACATTTTTCATCCCACTTTCTGGAATTTTCAAGAAAAAATAGTAAATTTGAAGCAAATTGATAAATAAGAGTGATTTTTCACATTTTGCATTTAACAGGGTTTATCCTAATAGTTGTAACGTTTAATTGTCTAACGCGTATCGTGTGAATGCACAAGGATCTGCCTACCCTACATAAGAGAAGGCGCAGTCTGCCTGCACTTGTAAACAGCGCTACGCAGCATCACCGCCAGGGGGCGATGGTGTGTCGAGTTGCAGGGAACACCGTGCACTTCGATTTCAGACAAAACAGTCAATAATAATATTGTTTTGCCGGCCAGATAACGGACAAATACACGAACAAACGAGTTTGTTGGGGTAAACATCGATCAGTGCCACTGACAAACAGGATTAAATGTGTCTCAACTTTAAGTTAACCACAGAAGTTCATATTTTCCATGTTTTAACGGTATCTCCTAAAAACCACCGTTTGTATGGTTACGAGTACATGAGAGGGTTGTTTGTGCATCAGTTTTACGAAGAACATACTTTTCTTCATTAACCGCCCAAACTTGTGAGCGTTTAGAAGCCTAAATTATTTCGAGAAAACGTTTTAGTCTTGACGCATTTTCAACACTGAATTAAGGTCACGTTTGCTGCTCGTACAGTGATCCCAAGCATGTGCAAACTACACTACAGTCAGAGCTGCTGGGTCTTGGGCGAGTTTTACTTTGTATTTGCACCATTGTTTTATTCTAGCCATAAATAGTGTGTATGAGCGCCCATGATTAGCATTCGCCTTAAACAAAATGGCGGAGCCTAAGAAGAGGCCACCAACACGTTTAAACTATGTTAATTACTAAAGTTATAAATTTAAACAAACCGTGCAACGTCGCTACGGCTCGAACAAAAGCAAATGCTTGCTGTGTAATTTTTTAGATAAGTGTTTTCAGTCACTCTGGTCGTTTTTCTTCACTTTCCCCTTGTCACGGAATGTCAGCCCAGGTTGCTACGTAAAGCTAACCATTAGCTAGCACCGGTGTAGTGTGGAAAAAGGTACCCCCGACACAAAAAACGCATTTCACGGGACTTCTTTCAACTATAAATTAGAGTAAAATCTGAAAGTGAAAAGGGAACTCGTGGTTATCAATATTCATTAACAGTCTGCTATATTGGTGAAAACTATTGCTCTAAAAAACCGCGTCCTTCTGATAAGGGTGCATTTCACGGCATGGGTGTTTTTTTCGGCAAAACACCTCACCGTACAAATGAACGGAGGACTGCTACCCAGCTAGCCCTAGCATTGTGACTGGATGCAGCCTGCTAAGGACAATCTGTAATAAATAAGTTTACCGGTTAATAACAAAAGGAAAACGCATTTTGAAAACGCAGATAATTCACAAAATATCACACACTCTCAAACAACAACACCGCGCGACTGTTACGAGCTTTAACGTTGTTCCTTAATAAATTTCTCCAATAGAAACTTAAAAAAACGATTTATTCTTGCCGTTCTCAATCAGGGTTAAAATAACGAGAGAAACAAACACTTACTAGCACTCCAAAAACCGGATTTTCAATATCTTCCAATGATGACGAAAACAAACCAATATTAACGGACATTTTCTTTAGAAATTGTGGAACTCACCTCGTTTCTGTTTTAACTCTTATTTAGAGCTGGATAGAAGAATGGTGCGCATGCGCGCAAGATGCGCTGCCTGACAAGTTTGGTTCTCGAAAAAGTTCAGTTCGCGGTCGGTGGTCGGTAGCGGGCTCGCGCGGGCTCACAACAAGCCTGAAAGTCGGTTCAGAGGCGATTTAACGGACGGAACTCGGTGCACTTGGACTCGTGTTTCGCCTTTGCCCCCAAACAGCTTGTAAAGTATGCTCTCCCCCACCCTCCGTCCCCCCTCCTCCCCCGTCAGACTAGAAGTGTGTATCGATGGAGCGCAGGGACCGCAGTGGCTCCGTGAACAGCGGAGGTTCTCGGGACCGGTTGCGTCCATCTCCGGCTTCAGCTGGTATTGATGTCAGCCGATCGCATTTTTATTTTTTACCTTCACAAATCGCGCTTTCCGTTAAAACGGGCATGAATGTTTGAGGAGGAGAAAAAAAACCAAAGTATTATTTTAACCTAAACGAGACAAATGGAGAAATCTGAGTCGGGTGTCGCTCACCGATAGTTGCGTGAACGGTGTCAGCCACGTCCAGGAAACAAAATCCTATCCGATTTGACGCATTTTTAAGTTTTTGGCCGCGAATTTCGCGCATTGATGACCCGTATTTTGGATTATGGTGTCATATTTAAAGCGTCGCGTGAATTCGGGTGGTCTTTTAGATGCGGGTGGTGCCGATTTGTGTCTTTAACGTGTTGACTGTGTTCACTGTGAGGCTGTTATGTGTGTCGTGGTTTATTCTGTAACATCCGAAGCAGCTGACCAGGATCCCTCCCACGCTGGGCGGCTTTCTCCCGGCGGTCATCGCAAAACACACAGCTCCCCCAAAAATCCCTAAAACAACCACGGTAACTTCATCTAATGATTCACGAGCGTTTTTATTTTCCTGTCCACAAAGACCAGGTGAAACGAGTTCATCTCGGCTGCTTTCTGGGTTTTGGCCGCTAGATGGCAGTAGGAGCCCATAGTTCCTGCGGGATTAACGGGGAGTTGAGCTGCAATCTGCATTATTCTGCAAAACATAACAACCGCAAATGCAAACCATGAGATGGCATTCAAAGGCAAAGCGGTCGATTCAAAGGTAAGAGGATGAAGTTCATCACGACAGGTTGTGATTTAGGAGAAAGGATCTTTTAAAGCGTCTCTAATCCGTGATCTTGTCTAGATCCGACAGGGGGGGGGGGGGGGGGGGGTTACGATTCATCAGCAGCTTTGTGTTCTGTATATTCGGATTATTTTATGTTTTACCGCCCAGCAGCTGGTCAGTCAGTCTGCCTGGTAGCTTCAGGTGTTAGCTGAGGATGTGACAGGTGGGATCCTGTAAACAAAGACCGTCTCTGTCGCTTTGCAGACCGTTCTGCTCAACCTGCTGCTGTGTCTCCTCATCTTTTACTCTCTTTTCTACATGATTGGGAGCGTTTGCTTCGGTGCCTTCAGGTGAGCCCCCCCAAAACACACCAACCCAAGCCCATAACACCCGTCTGAGAGACGGCTAAGGCTTCTAGTGATTATTTACAGTTCAAATGTTTCTGATCAGTAATAAATACACTTTAATACCAGAAACAAAGACAACCCGAGTAAATAAAAATGGTGATTTTTAGGGGAAGGAACCAGCCTGGCCCTATGTAAAAAAGGACCAGTTAAATCATGAATCAACTGCATTTACCCTCGAGCTGAGGTGAGTTTCACTAGGTCCACCCAGGCCTGATCACTACCAGAGCTGTAGAATTAAGAAATCACTCAGATACAGCATGGAACTGGCTAAGAGATCCCAAAAAGTAACACATCATGCCCTGTTCTTTAGAAAATTGGGTACTATAGATGCACTGATGCCGATACCGATTCCAGTATTGGTTAAAGTTAACCGATACCAATGCAGTTGCTTGAAAATGGCTTCGCTGTAACTTGTCATTTCTGTTCACCTAATATTTTAGTTTTGTGATGATTTCTATTCATATCTTTTACTTTTTATCTACCTCACAGTCTTTTCCTGTTGAAAGCAGAGCAGAAAATAAAATCTGTACTCCAAATCATTGCATTTTTTTTGGTGGTAGAAGTATTGGTATCGACGAGTACTCAGATCCAAGTATCGGTATCGTATCGGTTTGGAAAAACGGGGTATCGCTGCATCCCTATTGCGTACACGAGAACCCAGAATGACATCTAAAACACTGCAGGACTCACTTGGTTGTGAATGGCTAAGGCCTTGTGTTTATATAGCGCCTTCTAGAGTCCTGTGCCTCCCCGAGGTGCTTTACAACACCACCAGTCAGTCGCACACACATTCACAGTTGGTGGTGATGAGCTACAATATAGCTACAGCCGCCCTGGGGCGCGCTGATGGAAGTGAGGCTGCCAAACACAGGCGCCACCGGTCCCTTCGACCACCTCCAGCGGGGATGGGGGGGTTAAGTGTCCAAGGACGCAAAAATCTGCAACCCTCCAGCCATGGGGGGTGGGGGGGTGCAGTTACTCCTTTCTAAGGCTAAAACCTTTGCAGACCAAAAATACAAATGACCGTCTCGCTATCTGACCAACACAAACCCCTCGATGAACCCAAAGACTTTTAGGAAATGTTCTGTGGAACTCATGGTGGCAGTAGTGTGATGGTCTGGAGCTGCGTTGCTGCTTCAGACCCTAAACCACCTGTTTTAAATGCTGTAACCCTGTCTGACCTTTGACCTTAAACTGGCTTCATGCTGAAAACCCTCCAGTGTAGCTGAAGCCAATGAACAGACTAAGTTCTTCAATAGGTTCAGTTCAGGAACAAACCCAGCATCCTCCTCGCCTGTCCCCAGCCAATCAGACATCCCATCCTGCTCTGATCCAACATTTTCCTGTCACACGCCAGCTCTTTTGTCGTCTAACGCAGTCATGGACTCTTCTGGTCAGGAGATGCTGCTGCCCCAGTTACCTCCCCCTCCCACCTCTCTGTCTCTAGAAGTCAGGTGAAGAGGCAGCTGGAGAGACTGAACAGGAACAAGGCTGCAGGTCCAGATGGTGTCGGCCCCAGAGTACTGAAGGCCTGTGCAGAGCAGCTCTGTGGGATTCTGCAGCACCTCTTCAACCTCAGCCTGGCCCAGGAGAAGGTTCCAGTCCTGTGGAAGACATCCTGCCTTGTTCCAGTTCCAAAGAAAACTCGCCCATCAGTCAATGATGACTACAGACCGGTTGCCCTGACATCCCACATCATGAAGGTCCTGGAGAGACTCCTGTTGGTCCACCTGAATAAGCAAACTAGAACATATCAGGACCTGCAGCAGTTTGCTTATCACCATGGAGTTGGAGTTGAAGATGCCATCATCCAGCTGCTTCAACCAACCCACTGTCATCTGGACAAAGCAGGCAGCACTGTGAGGGTCATGTTCTTTGATGTCTCCAGTGCATTTAACACAATCCAGCCTGATGTACTTTGCCAGAAACTCCAGAAGACACAGGTGGGGGCCTCAACTATCGCCTGGACTAAAGACTACCTGACAAACAGACCACAGTTTGTGAGGCTGAAGAACTGCACATCAAACCAGGCGATCAGTAACATTGGAGCACCACAGGGCACTGTACTCTCACCATTCCTTTTCACCCTGAACACCTCAGACTTCCAGTACAAGTCAGAGACCTGTCATCTACAGAAATACTCAGATGACTCTGCAGTTGTCGGGTGTATCAGAGATGGACAGGAAGCTGAGTACAGAGAGCTGGTGGAGCGCTTTGTGGCATGGTGTGGAAACAATCATCTGACCTTGAACGTGAACAAAACAAAGGAGATGATTTTAGACTTCAGAAGAAACAGGGTGGAGTCAAACACTGTTTCCATCATGGGAGAAGAAGTGGAGGTGGTTGAGGAATACAAATACCTTGGAGTTCACCTGGACAACAGACTGGACTGGAGAAAGAACAGCGAAGCCGTTTACAAGAAGGGACACAGCAGACTGCACTTCTTGAGGATGCTTAGGTCCTTCAATGTCTGTAGCAAGATGCTGCAGATCTTCTACAAGTCTGTTGTTGAGAGTGTAATCTCTTCAGCCATCGTCTGTTGGGGTAGCAGCATCAGAAGCAGGGACCTGAAAAGGCTCAACAGCCTAATAACAAAGGCTGGTTCTGTTCTGGGGACGACTGTGGAACCACTGGAGAAGATGATGCAAAGAAGGATTCTCCAGAGAATCAAGAACATGATGGACAACCCTGAGCGTTCTCTTCACAAGACTGTCCGACAACGGAAGAGTGTCTTCAGTCAGAGGCTTCTTCACTTTGGCTGCGACACTGACCGCTACTGGAGGTCCTTCCTGCCAACAGCCGTTGTAATATACAACAACTCTTTGATGACTTGATTATTATTATTATTCTGAGCTACTACAGCAATCAGTTTCCCTCTGGGATTAATAAAGTATTTTTGAATTGAATTGAATGAAAACTATCGTGTAGTGTGACAAACGTCCTCCACAGCGATGTGAGAGACTGGTTACCAGTTATCCGGTAAATGAAGTTTAGGTGTCGGTTACCGTTTCCCACTGGCCCATGCTGGGTTGGACTACTGTTCTCCTTTAATAAATGAAATCCTCTTCTGAAAGATACACATTGAGCTGTTTCAACATAGAAAAAATTTAGTGACCCGCATCCCGTTGCCGGTGTACCAAGATCCACTGGTTTCCTCCTGTAGGTTGGATCACTTTGACGGACTGATTCCATTTGATTTCAAGACTGAACCTGCCGAGTCCAACTCCAAATACCTGGGTGAGCAAAATCAACACAACCCTCGGTGCTGAACGTGAGCTTCTACAGGTAACCTGTTCCCGTCCTTCCTTAGTCAACCTCGTCTCCTTGGAGCTCACCTGCTTTTGTAGTGGCATCCTGTTTGCTGCAGTAGTGAGGAGGCGGGTTTGGGACTATGCTCTCACTGTCACACTTCTCCATGTAATGATCACCAGCCTGGGTGAGCAGCAACCTAACCTATGCATGTGCACACCTGCAGGACAACAATGCGGTATGACAGCATGTTTTGCTGCTGTGTTGCAGTGATGTTGGAGTTCCCTGTGGTGTGGCAGTGGTGGCTGGCTCTAGGTAAACAAGCATCATGTACAACTAAACAGTATTTTCACGACTGAGCCTTTGTTTCAAATGATCTTTCTCTAGGTAGCGGCTTGTTTCTGATGATGTGCAACGGTCAGCTGATTGCATACTTCACATGCCAAAGTGAGTAGAGCAACGCCACCTTCAGCTACTACTGGCACGTTTATATAATCTGATTATAGATTATTCTTGTGTAGAGGTGGACAAGAATCTGACACTTTTCAGATGGGTCAGAGCTGGGTGCAGTTTGTGTTATGTTGCCAAAACTGACATCTTGTTATGTTTGTGCATTTACCAGTCCGTGCAGCTGGTGTGGTACTGTCACAGCCACGGTACGATGTGATTCAAGAATGAGACTTGTGCAATCAAAGGACATAATATTAAAGACATATTATGCAAAACTCATCTTTTGTGCTGCCATGTGGATCTCTACTGCCTTTAAAAACACTCCAAATGTGAATAAAACCTCCATCTATTTTCTTTTGAGTGTTTGATTTTAGGAAACGTGCTTAAAACAAGCCGTTTCAAAAGGTCCTTGTTTGTGATGTCACAAACTGGAAAATTATCAAATCACCTCTATTTATGCTCCAAACATGAAAAACACCCGTCCGTCCATCCATTTGCTGTCAGTGGAGCCACCTCTCACGTCGTTGTAGGAGCAGCAGCTCGCCTCCAAGCCCCTCCCTGATAGAGCTTCTCAGCCTATAGCAGCCTGAGTGGGGGATGGGTGGGTGTGGCCAGCTCTAGCGTGCTTTCTTTAAAGAGCAAGTCACCCCCAAATTAACTTTTTTTCTGATAAACTACACAAACGCGTGTCTAATCGTGCTGCAGACACGTGTAGTCAATAGTTTAGCACTTTAGTGCATCTTAGTTTAAAATCTCATTTTCTGCCTAAAACTGTCAGTGTTGTGCCGTTGTCAGGTAAAAACTCTGCACTGCATTTGAATTTAAATCTGCCATCGCTATTGGCTTAGAGGTACACTAGAATGTTAGCTGGTACCATATGATGTCACAATGTCGTAAGCCTGTGTGTGTGTGTTTGTTAGCGGCTCCGCCCTCTCGGTCTGCCAGGCAACAGCATTTGTTGCATTTTCCAAACAGGAAGTGGGAGTGGAGTAATACTCTGGTAGGGGGTGACTTGCTCTTTAAGTGAGAGAGCCCTGAAACGACTCATTCTGGAAAGTAACAAAAATGTCTAAACTGCTGTAATCACATCATGTGAGAGGGATTCAGTGTAAAGAACTTTATGACATGTTTCATATCAACCATAGAACTTTTATACAAAGTTTAAATATAAATAAAAGTACATCTGACTGGGTTTTTATTAAAATAAAGATTCTTGAAACAACACAAAGATACTCCTATATAAAAGAACCGACACTAGAAATAAAAATAAATAAATCGCGTTAACAATTCAATGAAGTGCAACCAATGAAACATGCAGAACAGTGCAATGTCAGGGTTTCAATATTTTGTTCAAGTAAGAAAAAATAGACATACATTTAATAATATAAGAAAAATACATCTTTGAACAAGCACGCTCCCGGAGGATTCGTTACGAAATGGGCTCTGCTGCCAGATACTCTGCTGGTTTCGTGAAGGAGAATCCCAGAAAGGCCTCTCTGGCTCTGGCATCCTCAGCCCTCTCGTTCACGAAGGCAGGAACGGGCAGCCGGGTGAACTCCGGATCGATGTAGCTGACATCACTTGGACCGGTCTGAAAACAGAAGGGTTAGCGCTAACATCTAAATTATACATTTGTGTTCTGGGCTACTTTGTGACGTATTCATACCACTTGTGGGACGAATGGGGGTTTAACCCTTCTGGCTACGAGGTCATCCCAGTTGATGAAGGCAAAGAAGGGATGATCTTTGAGCTCCTCCTGACAAGACGAGATGAACCCCTTCAGTTACGTGCCCTCATGGCCATCGCTGCTGCTCTCCTGCATGTGTACTTACGACATCGAGATCCTGCCCGAGGCGCTTGGAGACGTCTCTCTCCAGCAGCCCTTGTAGAAGTGACTCAGCACTTGCAGAAAGGCCACTGGGCAGCTGCAGAGGAGCATAAAGGATGTTCTCCAACATCTCCACCTTGCTGTGGCTGTAAAACGGAGGCTGGGAGACAACAGGACAGTGGAGTAAGGCGACGATGTGGAAGAACAGTGAGCGATGAAGAGGAGGGAGTGGCTTATTTCACGTAAACTCACCAGTCCACAAATCATCTCGAAAAGCACAACTCCGAGTCCCCACCAGTCCACAGCTGGGCTATAGGGGTGGCCTTTAAGGACCTCAGGAGCAAGATACTCTGGAGTGCCGCAGATGGTAAGCATGATCCCACCTATGGCCACACCTTCTTTACAAAGACCAAAGTCTGTTATCATCACATGACCATCTCTGTCCAGAAGGATGTTTTCAGGTTTCAGGTCTCTGGATGGAGATTCAGGGAACCAAAGTTTGGTTTTAGTCAACAAGCTCCAGCAACAACGCACATGTACAGCTTTCATCTTCAGCATTTCGAGTTTTACTACAGCGCTGGAAGAAAGGGGAGCTTTCAGTGGCTGTCCTTTACAGGATTCCACTGCATAGGTGAGTTCGGCTTAAGAAAACTGAGGTAAGCAAGGGCCGGAGACAAAAATGTTTGGAGCAAGGGCGTCCCCAAGGGGTGGCCAGGGGTGGCCATGGCCACCCATAGAAAATTGCTGACCCCCCCTCCAGGAAAAGCCAGTGTTAACAAATCATATTAGTGTTCAGTCAAACCCTATATTGATCTTGTTTTTTCAAGACATAATTATAAAACAGAATACAATATTACAGTTAATGAGTAAAGAAATAATCAGAATTGAAAAAAATACACGTTTCTGCTGCTCACCATTTAAAAAAAGTTTTATCTCCGTAGTTTTTTTTGTGAACACAGCAACAGGTGAATGAACCTAAAAAAATACATTATTAACTAAAATTTGGGATGACATTTGAAATAACTGAAATGTATTTTCCTAAAATGTTTGTGTTTGTAAAATTTAAGTTAAATGTTATTTTAATAAAAACGAATAAAGGCGCAATGCAGCACATCGCCACAGACTAACTTCAACCAGAGTTACCACAAGGACCACTTTGATGTGCCACCCCAAAAATTTCCTTGTTCCCATCTGGCCACCCCTATCAAGATTTTCTGGAGGCGCCCCTGGTTTGGAGATCAATTGTAATAAGTTCTCTGATGTATTTATGTGAATACCTGTAAACGATGTGAAGAGAGTGGAGGTAGCCGAGTGCTGCAGCCATTTCTGCAGCGTAGAAAGCAGCTCTGGGTTCTGGAAAGGATCCATCTTTCAGTAAATGGTAGAAAAGCTGAGAACAAAAGACAAGAAGGTGAAGAGGTTTATCCAAAAAAGCTTTGCAACATGTTCTGGTTTTTAAAAAGTGAAAAAGTGATGGACTTCCTGCTTCACGTAAACGTCCATCACTTCATTTTTTCACCCTTACCTCTCCTCCGTTCACGTAGTCGAGGACAAAGTAGAGTGCACTCGGCGTCTGGAAAGAAAAATGGAGTCCCACCAGGAATGGGTGCTGCAGTCCCTTCAGCAGCACGCTCCTTTCAACCATCACGTGCTTTTGCTGCAAAGACAACCAGCAGGTAGAGTCAGACAGAAAAAGCAAGACAGAAAGACGGAAAACCACGCAGACGGACCTCTCTCCTCTTTATGATCATCTGCTTCTGCAGCACCTTCACTGCGTAGTAGTCTCCTTGTTTTCTGTGTCTTGCAAGCAGCACCTGGCATTTGTTCAGGTTTAATCAAAGTTTCAAGCAATAAAAGAAAAACGAAGCAAAGTTACGAAAAACACTCACCTTTCCAAAGCTTCCCTGGCCTATAACTTTGAGGTAGTCAAAGTCTGATGGTCTCATCCTGAGCAAAATCAAACAAACTAGTGAGAAATAAGAACTTGATGCATAAATGGAGAAGAAACTGACAATAATTAATGTTCAGGTTGCACACTGAAGTAAAAAGAAAACCTGTAAGTTATTGTAATTAATATTTTTCAAGGCTATTGCTGTGATGTGGGATTACGAAGCATTCACGCTCAAGACAATGTTTCGTGTGTCTTGCATTTGAGAAAGGGGGACTTACTGAGAGGTTTCTGTGTTTGCTGAGCTCTGGGGAAAGAGAAGACACGGGTGGAATAGTCAGGAGGAGGTCCGTTTAGGTTTCACCTCCTGTCAACACTGAAAAAACGCCCCTAGTCTGAACTTACCAAGGTAGCGCTCTCCTCCTTCTGCTTCCTCAGCTTGCTGTGGCGCCGCAAAAGTTTCTGGGTGTCCAAGCTTCAATCGGGAAGATGAGAAACGTGAGCTCGAGTTTAGCTTCTGTAACTCCCGTATTTCTGCTGACTTACTGTTGGCAAAGCTGCTGACCAGAAACAACTTTGTGTAAGAAGTCACTGAAGCCAGCCTTCTTGCCCTTTAGCAGAGCTGTAAGACAGGGGGGGGGGGGGGGGGGGGGCTTGTGTTACATAACAGCTGAACTAACTGCAAAGAGCTGGTTTTTCTTTCCCTACTGTCACACTTGGGGTGTCAAAGCTATTATTTAAGTACACGGAATACTTTTTAAATCCTTATTTTATTTTACTCAGACGTCCTTAAATATAACATTATTTTGCAAATACCTTTAAAAGTATACATCCACTTTTACATATTACCACCCTTTGTATTCATGTTTAAAATGCTGCTTTACACATGATGCTAAATAGATGTTTTTATTTACACACTGTCAGTAGCACCCGGTCGTCTAGGCTGACAAATGTTTTAACTTCAGCAGAAACAGTCGGATTTTTTATATTTAAGGTGGATTTTTCAGGCCTACCTGAAAGAAACGTTACAATTCCCTTCATCTTAGCGTAAGTTATCGGTTGTTCCCGAGCCACGGTCATCCGGGAGGAGCGTGAGAACTCAGAGCTCGAGGAGAACCGGACGATGCTCTGCGGGCGGTGAACTGAACGTCAGCTGTCCTGCTGCTCGTTTAAAAACCAGACCAGCTCTGGAACAGATGCGTTCACGTTACCTCGGACAAGTCACAACTGCTGCCTTGACCCAAAAGAACATCCACGACCACGGGCCTTTAATGGTTGTTGCTGAGAAGATTTTCTAAATCGCTGGCGTATAGGTAGCGCATGTGTTGTTTAAGTACCATGGTCTTATTAGCTTACCTAACTTCTGAGTGCCAGATCTTAATAGAGATAATTCAAACCAGCCGGTCCCTTGAAGGCAGCTTAGTTGAATGGAAAAGCGCCAAAGTGGAACCTGCGGGTTCTAGTGTAGATCAGCCACACGCTGTGAATCATTTCCATATAAATAAATCTCCCCTTTTCATTTATACAAATGTGTGGGCTCAGTGGTAAGGCTCCAAACAAAGGGAGATGAAGTAAAACGATCAGCTTTATTTTAAATTAAGACTGTTTTCATGTTCAGCCTGCATGTGAAACTCAGCCTGACTGATCATATTTTAAAAAATAACTGATAAAATATTAGTTTCTCTGTGAACTTGCGCTTTAAAATAATTTAAAAATCTTCACATCTGCCCTCACATCTCAGTAATGCTTTGATGGTAACAGGGGTGGGTCTATGGGGGGTCCAGGGTGGGCCAGTGCCCCCCCCCCCCGACAACAAGCTTGCCCCCCCCCCTCCCCATTGAGGGCAGAGCCTATAAGCGTCAGTATTAATTTTATTTAATGACTTAGCCTAATGCGATATGTGGAGCCAAACTGAAAAGAGATGCTTAGACACACATGTTCATGTCACTGAAGCCCTTTTCAGACAGACGTTCTGGAACATTTGTGGACAATTCAATCCGTTTTTTAACCGGAACTGTGTTTTCAGACACACCACTTTTGTACCGGAACTTGTCCTTTCGGCTGCGTTCACACAGCAGGCAAAAGTTCCAGATGTCTGACGGCGGCGGGGGGTGGGGTGGGGTGTAGGATCGGACTCATGTTAAGAAGAAGAAGAAGAAAATATCATTTCTATACCGCCTCTCAAGATAAAAATCACGAGGCGCTATAGCATAATTCTGCGCACACGAAGACGCATAAGAGACCTGGATGATGAAGCTCAATGGTTAAAGGAATCACTGAAGCGGTGTGAAGCGCTCCGTCGCACGTCTAGGCGGTACCGTAGGAGGCGAGCTGCCATGGTTCACCACATGCTACAGCAGCGGGCTATCTAGGTGTGCACAGCGTCCCCCGGTCCCCTCCCCCTCCCCCTTGTCCGGAGCTTTACCTCACCAGTCTGAAGCAGCCACCCTGTCTGTAACAAGTCCGGACCTGTTACTAGGGGCTTCGTCCGGATAAATTCCGGAACACGTTATCCGGATGTTTGTATTCAGACACAAAGGTCTTACGGACAGAGTCCGGAACATTTCCGTTTTTCATGGCCTGTCTGAAGGGGTCTTGTGACAAATAACAAAGAGAACCTATTCTTTCCCACAGTTGAAATGAAATGAAACGCTCTTGTATCTTAAGGAACTTTAACCAAATTGCTGTTGTTGTATTTTTGTACTTACCAATGTTTGAAATACTTAGGCATGTTTGTAGTGTTTTCATACAAATGTTCTTCTAGATCAGCTGACCCCAGCCTGCTTCTTTTTAGAACCTTCCCTGGATGGTAACATCATGCAAAAAAATGTAAATCAGTGCAAATCAGCGCTAGAACAATCACACGTTCACTCAAAATACAAAACACCACATTGCACAGTTTTTTTTTAGATATTTCAGCAGTAATTTAGAGAGGGGAAAAACACTGAAAGAGCAGCTCGCAGTAAAATATTATTTGTTTTTTTTAATTAAAATTAGATGCAGGTTTCCATAGCTTTTCATGTCTCTACCCAGGCATGGTGTGCTTTTGAGCAATGGAAACTGTACTACGTGTGTAAATTCCTGACAGCAGTCCAAACATTTGTCGCCATCACGTGTTGGGGTCATGGCACATCAGAGGTTGGCAGGGCCAGCCCAGAACTTTGCTGACCCAGTTTAATGAGTGGTTTCTGCCAACATGGGAGTGTTATATGTAGATGTAAGACATGTTTATATGATTCATCTTAGACTTAATGGTCCAAGCTTGTTTCATCTTAATCAAAGTGTTCAGCTGATGCTACTAATTAGTTTATTAGACATGTATTCAAAGTTATTTCTCATCTAATTCTGGTGTGAGGATCTAGGGCAGGGAGGACCCATCTGATTGGTAGTGGTAAGCGCTTGTCACTTGGAAATGTGATAGTCCACCATTTACTGTAATCTAAGCAGTGCTGTGGCCCACATTGGACACGTTGATGTGTGAGAAATGATTTTCAGCTCTAGTTTCCCCCACACTCACACAGGATGATAATAAAATGGAACAAAGAATTGTTTTTATGCAACACTCTCAAGTTGGAAGATGTTGTCTGTAGCTTCACTTCCAGACGTACGGAGACGCGCTTCGGTTTGGCTTTATTTCTCATTTATTTTCTCTTTGCTTCATTTATTAGAGAAGTCTTGGTCAGGGGCCAGGGCCTTCTTTCAGAGTTTTCTACGTTCCTTCTGGACTTCGACTCATTTGTTGTCTGCAGTTCCCATGGTGGGGACTTTCAGGTCTAGATTTGGTCAAGTGGGCCACTTGGCCAAATCAAATAATAATAATAATAATAATAATAATAATAATAATAATACATTTTATTTAAAAGCGCCTTTCAGGACACCCAAGGTCACTTTACAGAAAACACGTGATAAAATACAATAAAACAATAATAAAACCCAAAGAAGAAAAAACAAAGAGAGAAACAGTTCAATAAAATCAGAGGTTGTAGGCAGATTTAAACATGTGTGTTTTGAGTTTTGATTGGAAAAGGGTAAAACTGTCGATGTTCCTGATGTCTGGGGGAAGTGAGTTCCAGAGTCGAGGAGCAGAGTGGCTGAAAGCTCTGCTCCCCATGGTAGCGAGACGGGCAGAAGGAACCGCAAGATGGATGGAAGAAGACGATCTGAGAGAACGGGACGGGGTGTGAATACTTATAAGGTCTGAGATATATGGAGGAGAGATGTTGTGGATTGCTTTGAAGGTATGGAGGAGAATTTTGAAGATGGACCTGAATTTAACTGGGAGCCAGTGAAGCTGCTGGAGAACCGGCGTGATGTGGTGAAAGGAAGGGGTTCTGGTGATAATATGGGCTGCTGAATTCTGGACCATTTGCAGTTTATGAAGGAGTTTGTTGGGGAGACCATAAAGAAGTGAATTGCAATAGTCGATACGGGAGGTGACGAGGCTGTGGACGAGAATGGCGGCAGTGTGAGGGGTCAGTGAGGGATGGAGACGGTTAATGGAACGTAGATGGAAGTATGCTAACCAAATTATGTTATTAATGTGAGCTTGAAACGAAAGTGAGCTGTCGAGAATGACACCCAGACTCTTGACGTGAGGGGAGGGGGAGACTATGGTGCTGTCAATAGTTAAAGAAAAGCTGTCAGATGTTGAGAGGGTGGAGTTAGTGCCAACTAGAAGAAGTTCAGAAGAAATCTGCAGAAGACCATCAGAAAGCCTAAAGCTCCATTGCTCAAAATGACAAAAAGTCTCTGTTTGAAATAGATTTTTAATGATGTCTATTTAAAATGCTTGAGAGTGCATAGTTCTCATACGCTGCAGGTAGGAGCCTCCTATTGCAACTAGTTATCTAACCCAACTGGTGCAACGAGCTGCTTCTCATTTCTTAAACAACCAGGTGGAAAGACACATCTGGTGGTGGAGAAGATGTTAGTCTGTGTGAGAAGGGTCAGATCATCGGCATCAAGCAGAGAAAACATCTAAGGAGATGCAGAAACGACTAAAACTGGGTTCAGAGCTGTTCAACTGGTCTGATGAGTCCAGATGGACCCTGGTCCAGAGTGATGGCGCATCAGGGTAAGAAGAGAGGCAGATGAAGTGATGCACCCATCATGCCTAGTGCCTACTGTACGAGCCTGTGGGGGCAGTGCTATGATCTGGGCTTGCTGCAGGTGGTCAGGTCTAGGTTCAGCTACAGGAAGTGCTCCGAGAACGAGGTCAGCTGACTACCTGAATATCCTGAATGACCAGGTTATTCCCCTGACAATCTTTGGGATGTGCTGGAGAAGGCTTTGTGCAGCGGTCAGACTCCACCATCATGAGTGCAAGATCTTGGTGGAACATTAATGCAACACTGGATGGAGATAAATCTGGTGAAGCTTATCAAAACAACGCCACAGCGAATGTGTGTCGCAATCAAAGCTAAAGGCGGTCCAAATGGTTCAAAGAAACATCAGAGTGGGTGACCTTTTTTTATGTGGCGACTTGTTTTTGTGCCGGGCGGTTAGGGTTAGGGTTAGGGCTGGGCAGGCTGGTGCATCAACACAAGGGCCAGAAAAGCTGAGTTGTTACAGGTACAGGTGTGTTCCACAATGGTGTTTTGTAGTTTTCCATTAAGAGCTAAACGTTCCACTCCTTACATAATAAGGTACAGGCTCGAGGATGGGCCTGGCACAGCTGACGTAAACAACACAGACAGAAATGACTGAAATATTAAAGGCGAGGAGGGAACGACACCAGAACCCAGCAGGAATGATGGTAAATGATGAGCTATTGTCTTCGTCTGGAAAGCAGCAAAAATAAAAAGGTGTTGCAATAATGAAATCAGAGAGGGTGTCAGATAAGGGACATGGAGTGCAGAGACTGAAATGTGTCCCTGTGTCTCTGCAGTCTAAATTTGGAGACAGAGTTCAGGGTAGAGGGAGTATGGGGAGTCTTACGGCTGCAGAAAGCTGATCCTGTGTCAGAAACGGGGGCAGGTTCCCGTCTGAGGGGAGAGCTAAAGAGAGAAGGGGAGAACCCTCTCCTCACTCCTCTGATCTGAACCGGTCCCTGCTGGTCCGACCCCCCCTCCCCGAGTCTGAAACCTATGACTTCATCTGAGCCGGTCAGAGCTGGTTTTACCCCACCCCCCCCACCCCCCCCCCACCCCCACCCCCCACCCCCCACCCCAGGACAGCAACAGGTGACGCTGAGCACAACTG